TATGTGCATCAGTTGCTATAAAATAACAGCTGGGTGAATAATGCAAAATTTATACTTAGATAATCCGTGCGTGCTTAGGAGCAATTTAAGACCGAGAAAACAGAGGACTAGAGTGGGCTCATAGAGGGATAGGAAGGTGGAAAAGAATCCCTGTTTTTTCCCCTGGTCCTTGTAAAACTGTGACTCCAGGGAAATTTTACTTTGCTGGAGAAATCATTCCTTTGAGTGATGGTCTTTCTCCACCAGAGAAGCTGAAAAAACAGGATAGTTTTCTTCCTTTCTTCCATCCCTTCAGCCATGCTGGGTAGTTGGGCAAACAGAGTATGGTGCTCTGTTCTGTATTTTGAAAGCATGGGAGAAATTCCTTGTTGTGTTTCCATCTAATAAGGGAGCTCCGGGAACTAAGACAAAACACCTAGCAGCAGGCTTGCTAGAGCGGATAGCACCAGCTCCTTTAACATCCTGTCTCCCTGAAAGAGCAGTGCCAAAAAGGCAGTCTGCCCCATAGCTCATGAGCTACATGATTATTTTCAGCTGCTGTTGCATCACTGTCTTCTATAAAAATAACTGAGAACTACAGCAGAAAAGTCAATGGCTCTAAAATGGCCAGGCTGACAGAAGACTGAGTCCAGAGGAAACATCATCCTGCATGACAAGGCATCTCTATAGTCTCCAGCATGCTTAAATGCAGTCATTTTCACCATCAGGAAGTAGAATATGAATATTTCCTATCCTGTAATAAGCCCCTTAAAAATAAAAGCACTAGCTCCACCTCATGCATTGCAAGCTTTCATCTTAAATATTTCTAGTTTTTAGCTTAACTATTTCTAGTATCCCGGATTCAAAACTTAGACCCTCAGCTTTCATTTCCTTTGACCATAGCAGCAAGTTTCTTGTGTTGATAGTAAACAATAGAGGCTTTGAAGCATTTTTCTGCTTTGTGTTTATATAACTTTTAAGCCATTTCTGCTTTGGATATATTTTGTTTCTCTTTATTGCAAGAAAGTTTCCACAGAGTTGCAGTTTATTAACTGAAAAGTGGTATTTTTCATTGCAGCAATACTTCTCGGTGCACAATACAAACGCCCTATGATATTTCATCAACAGTGCTAGTGCATTTTTGTAACTTTAAGAAGTAGTTCTGAAAACAAAACAAACCCACTAACCATCTTAGCAGAGAGTAAGCCAATTCCAATGGCCTGCCAGAGAAAACAAAAATTAAGCATAGAGCATCATATGCTTGATATTTAATTACTCTGCTAATACACTTTACATTGCATGGTTTTGGACAATTTCAGATGACTGCTTCTGTTATGTTAACTTTCTATTCCCAGCACTCCTGTGGTTTTAGCGGGCTATTAGAGGGGAAGCAGCTAATTGACAGTTGTGTATAACCAGAGCTGTAGAGTAAGAATGGAGGTGGGAGTGCAGAAGATGGTAGGGGAAGAGTCACTTGTGCCTCAGGTGTCCACCAAGAGCTGCTGGCAAGGACCAGGAGGATGAGAGAGGTGTGTTTTTCAAGACTCTTGGGGTTCAGGGGGTTGCAGGACTGTGAGGTAGAGGACAGGCACCATTCACTTGCTGAATCTGAAATGCTGGTCTGTGGAGACAGTGTTCTCATGAGAGAATGCATAATTGGTACATAAACTCTGAATAATCCTGAAAGATACAGCAAGGCCATGAGAGGCCCGAAGAAGCTTAAGTAAGCAAGATAAGAAGCTGGAATTCACTGAGTTAATGAGAACTGTGGACTGTTGGCAAGCTTTCGAGGTCGAGTTCTCACACCTGTGTTTAACCAATTATATGTTAGTCACTAAGGGTCTTCAGGACATGTATCCAATCATAATATGCCAAATCACTGTAAGTGCATGTAAGAAATAGTATATAAGGGGTTAAGGATTTGTAATAAATTTGACAATCGCTTGATCACATTGATCGTCTCTGCGTTGTCCATGACTCCCGCATCAACACTGGTCCTAGTCTCAGGTGCAAGATCAAGATGTCCAGCACCATTTTATCAAACCCTTCTGTCTCTGGAGCTTCAACAACTTCCACATCCTCTGGCAAAAGTGCCACCCACGCTTACCAACCTCACTTACTCTTCACCCCAGAGCTCAATGTGTAAGTGCAGAGAGGGTTAGTGAAACCTGTGCCCACGTTTCCATCCAAAAAAAAAGACCAATCAGTTATGTCAGAACCATGCAAAAGAGCAGGGCTGCAGGGGTGGGCAGAAGTAGAGCGACAGGTGGTTTTATATTTTCCTGAGGGCCCAAGAGATGAGAGGGCTCTCATTACTTACTGGGAGCAGCTCACTAAGGGCAGTAAGGAAGGAATTGGGACAAACAGCAAACTATGTGCAACCCAATCTGCAATGACAGAATCAGAGAATCATAGAATAGTTAGGGCTGGAATGGGACCTTAAGATCCTCTAGTTCCAACCTCCCTGCCATGGGCAAGGAGACCTCGCACTAAACCATGTCACCCAAGGCGTTGTCCAACCTGGCCTTGAACACTGCCAGGGATGGAGCATTCATAGCTTCTCTGGGCAAACTGTTTACAGCTCAGCATCACTAAGTGCTAAAGCAGTCACAGCAGAGTGACACGATCAAGTTGCTTATTAAAAAAATAAAAATTTAACAGCTTTGGGTTTCGTGGAAATGGCATGGATGTGGCCTCTTGTACTGCTGTGCTTCAACAATGAAAATACCATCTAGCGCAGGTTTTAGTGCTTCACAGATTGATTATTTTTTTTTCCTTCAGTCATCCATCGAACTTTGCTCTCTAATGGGGAGAGAACAAGGCAAGTTAGTGAAATAATCTGAGCTGCTGAGGTGAGGAGGTTGCAAAGCTGCAGTTAATAGCATAGTTTCAAGGGACACACTGATATGCTGTGGACATTATGCAAACACAGAGGCAAGCAACAGTGGAGTGAAAACTTATACTGTGGAAACCAGGGCTAAGAAGGAATGAGAGCAGACTGCAGGATGAATTAAGTAGCTGTTTTTGAATAAAACTTACTGAGCAGCACATCCTCCTTTCGCATTATTGATAGTGGCATAGAAGTGGTAGTTCCCTACTTTGCAGGTTACAGAGGGGGTAATGAGCTATTATGGTGGGCTTTTTACATCTCCAGGACTTGTTTCTTACCCTTCTGCCTCTTGAGACAGGAATACACTTTACCTTGTAATGTTTTCACTTGTGTTTGAAATTTAGCCAAGAAAAAGCAGTCTAAATACAATTAACTCATCATTCTTTTTGGCTCTTTTCTTGTTCATTTAAAAGGTTGTTTTTTTTCCCAATATATTCAATGTAATAGGAATAGTACTGAAAGTTGAGATCAGGCTAGCTATTGAGTATGGCCACAATAAGAGAGTAGTAAGTAACACTGCAGGAAGGAGCATTAAATTAAGCAATAAACTGTGCTTTAATGATACTAATGCTAGGAAGACTCTCAATTAGACCTGACTAAGTGTACATATACTTAGTGAGCTGGAAGACTGGCACCCCTATGGGCAAACCTGACAGACTTCTGAACTGGGCGTTCACTTGTCTTAGAGACCAGTTAGGAGACACATCAAAGAAAAATAAAAATCTCACAACACTAGAAGACATCTTCTCAGTGGTGCAAATGCTTTTTATTAATAATGTGAAAAGAAGCTATTAGTTACAAACATTTGAGGTCAAGGTGACCTATATCAAAGGTGTAACCCAGGGACACGAGGATTTATTAAGAAAGTAACATCCTTCCAAAACGAACTCTTCTGCTGGCTTCTGGACCTGAACATTGCTGGGGTCATAGGTAGTCTGAGGGAGTGGGCCAGAATCTGGCATGGAGGTTTTGGCTTTAAAGTGTGACAACAGTATATGCTCCCCCAGTCTCTGTACTAAACAGAATCTTTATCTTGGCTCTGACAGTCTGCCAGCAGACCTACTGAAAGCAGGTGATACAACCTGCTCTGTATTAGCTCTGCCTGCTCCACTTAAATGTTAGCTGGTTCCCACTCTTTAGTCCCAAGAGGACTAGCAAAGACCTGTACAAGGTACAAAGATCTTGATGCAAACAAGCTTGAGGGAATCTCAGTTTGAAAAAAGCACTTTTTGTTACAAACTTGTACTTTTGTATCGTTTAACAGATGGTAAAGTTAGGGAACATGAAGTAGTGATCTGTAAAATTCATGGTTGCTGTACGTTTCATGAGATTTCTTAACCAACAGCCTAGAAATTATACTGCTTTTCTGTCTTGAGCTTTAAAAACATAGTGGCACCCGAAAGAGGATAAATGGAGTTTATGGTTATTTTTGCTGCACACATTGTGCTAGGTAGGTCCACTGCTGTGCCAAACAAGGTAATAAATGACATGGAGCATCAGCCTATAGTGTGGAGCCACCTCATAGTGGTAGCCAATGACCATCAGGAAGTTCTGGCATTTGAGCGCTTTCACCTTAACAAATACAAAAAGGATCTACTTAACTGCTAAGTCAGACATTTTGAGTAATGTGCAATCTGGGAACACTCAGCGACATGGCAGTGAAGAGAGGGGTTAGGTTCTTCACAAAAAAAAAAAAAAAAAAAAAAAATCATTCAAAGTGGATTTGATTCAAACAACTTCAGAAAAATTTTCTTCAATTATCTTGCAGAAGCCTGGTGTTGACCACAGGCTAACAGCACTTACCCTTCATTATATATATGCTGAGATACAGCACAGCCATTCAGGACACTGCTTACTGGCACAGTCGTGCATTTAGGATTCTACTGTCATAAGAAAAAGAATTTAAGTCACTATAATTACCTTGCAAAAATCTCATAATTCCCAAGATTCAAGATAGGTGTATATGTATTTCACACACTGATCTCAGAATAATGATTTATTTCATACTTTTTCTTTTGTGCAGTGATTAGTTTTTGTACTGTTAACATCTCATTTATCTGAACTTCCAAATGTAACAGTTGGCAGATTTATTAGTGCTCACAGAATAGAGCAAGAAGTGGAACACAGAGATATTATTACTGCTGTGTTGCAGTCAGGGTTTTTTTTTTCTTGTTATTACATTGTTATATCCATGTTGTTAGAACATTTTTTCTATTTCATAAAAAATTTTCAAACTGAAGATTTCCAAGACTGGGCCTCACATGAGGGGAGATCTTCAGATCTTTTAAACTAGATACAAGTTGAGGGCCTAGACTCAGCTAGCATCAAGCAGTCCAGCTGATTTGATCATGGTATAATGATGCTGATAAAGGATCTGGCCCAACAGTGTGTTTGAAAAGCTGTATATCATGAAACACATGGAGTTTAATAGTGGCTACATTCATCCCTGGTAAAGGAATGCTGAAGCCTAGTGAATGTGGTACAACTTTAGGCAGACTGGCAGATTGCATCCTCCTTTCCAGCTACTGCACCGTCCCATAACGTATCTCTTAAAGTGCTCTGCTGAAAACCAGTATATGTGCCAGTATAAAGCCATGATAAGTTTGTCACTGCAAGATGAGTATTTTCAACTATGTGTTTCTAATTAATGCAAAAGCATTTTCAAATAATTTGTGTTATCTTACAGATTTAGAGAAAAGCAAAACATTAACATAGTATAGTTATTAAATAAGTGGGGGAAAAGATGAAAATTCAAAGATCATAAATTCAAGATAGAAACCAAAACATGGCAGAATATTAGACTACCTCTCTGCCTCTAAATTCACTCATGACTTGAACAGGATGGATTCTCTTCTTTGCAGAACCTTTCCTGACAGCTGCATAGATTTCTTCTGGCTTCTCTCTTTTAATTAGGGGCTTCTTCTCTGGAGCTTTCATTCTCCACATGACAACAGGATGTCGTGGGCCAGTAGGACTCTGAATCTTGATAATCTTTGTGGATGCAATATAAGACATCTTCACTGTCTGTACCACAGCATTCATTAAATTTTTGGCTGCTTGAATTAGTGAAGTGACGCTATCCAACTGTAAGAAGAAACAGAAACATTAGCCTAGGAAGCCGGTCTGCTTTTAAATTCAGTATGCTCAGGAATAAACAACAGTTAAAAAGTAAGGCTACCATAACAAACCCTAACTTCTTTGTTGTCCCTTGGTGTGTTTACGTTCATGTTCCACAGCTCAGACTTAAAGTGATATACAGAAATTTGTGCTGGTGGAATACAAATGCTTATGTAGATAATGGTTATTGTTTTCTTTTTTTAAACGTGAATTTATGGTGCTTGTCTGCAGGGTCTCATTGCTATTACTATTGATGAGTAATGAAACCAGCTCAAAGAGCTATGAAAATGTGATCCATTACTTCCTGTGTATCAGCACTAGGCAAAGTCTCCAGCTGCTGCTGTCACATTCCAGGCTCTCACACAGGCTCCTGAGCAATGCTGGGATACTGTGAAGTGACTGGTTTTGTCAGAGCTGTTGAACCTAGTCTTAGCTGCCAAGAATTTTAAGGGTAATTATAAGCCAGATAGCACACAGAAATCGCAGTAACTTTGTGGCCTCTCAAACTGTTTAAGGAGTGCCAACCTAAGAGGCAGAATGCATTAACAAACTAATCCCTATCACCTACTATCATCTTCAACAGCATAATACATATGCATACAAGTGCTAAAGCAAAGGCATTTTCCCATCAATGCTCATAGAAACAGTGCATTTAATTAGATCTGAAAATCTGCTAACTACAACAAAAATGACAACTCTAACAAGAAATTTGTCTTTGCCATACTGCACTGTAGCATAATACAAGCAAACTCACAAAGAGCACTGCTCCTTTCATAGATTTGAGGCCTGCAGGCTCCAGCATCTATGGTCTGAGAGCAGTGCACTGGGGACATTACACTGTCCTAGCCACCTCCTCACGTGTGACTGCCATCACAGCTAGAGGCTAGTTGCACAGTGCAGATGCTACGATCTTGGGAACTTTCGCTTATCAAAAACCGAGGACAAGCACGTGTGTATGACAAAAGGCCAACAGTGGCTAAAGAACTGTTGCCTGTAACTGGCCATCAGTATTGTTCCAGCACTTGGAAATGAGCCTTTTTTTTTATTTCTCCTGTTCCCAAAACAGACTGATAAGGCTTAGGCTCATCCTTTCAGAAGTAACAGGGACAACAGCCACATAAAGGGTGAGAAACTGGGTGGGCAGGGGGCGGAAGAGGGCAAGATCACTATGGTTTGGATGTAAAAGTAGTAGGATTACTCTATGTATTACTCTAGGAAATGCAGAACCTACATTTCAACTTCTAAACATCCTCTTTGTTGAAACATTTGCCTGTAAAAGCAATGAAGCCAGTGCTCTAAAAGGGCCATCCATTTTAGTGGGAGGACAGTCTTGCACTTTGTCGTCCAGCCTGTCTTTTGTGATATGCAGGCTTGCAAACTGAGATTTTAGGAAAGGTTCAGGGTCTTCTCCCCTTTACCAGGTCACATGGATTGATCAGGTGAGAAGAGTGTGTTATTGTCTGTCATGCTCATTGTGTAAGACTTTGCACACATACACCCAAATTCAAATAAGGCAACAACAAAAATGCAAGGGATGGAATTTAGTTGCATTCTGGAAACACCTCTGAACTGGCAGAAAAACCCTCCGGTTATTATCATGTTTACTGCTGCTCTCTGGAAGTGTGAAATAACCCTAATACCCTCTGAAAACTAAAATAACGTGCACATATGTGTGATGACAAACTGAAATTATCTCTATACTCTGAGAAAAGGTGTAAAATTTACCAGATGGCCTCTAAAGTTCATTCCTTTCTGCAGCATGTGAGCTTTTTTAGAAGGGATTTGCACTGTATAATAGTCATGTAATCTTTCTATGGTAGTATTTTAACATAAACTGGTAGGTATATTTGGGGCCTGTGATGTATAAACTTTACTTTGGGGAGCAGGCTGTCCAGCCACTCTGATAAATTCAGCAGTACAACATATTTACTGTCATATGATTTGACATGAAGTTCAAAGCACACGGTGACCTCCAACCTAAAGCTTATTTCAAATGCGGCTTTTAAACTAAACATGTTAAAAACCTCCAGGCTGCCAGTAAGGTGTTTTGCTCGGAGGCTTTGTCATTACCCTCCTGATACATCTTCAGTCTCCAGTATATCCATTTTTCTAAGGAGGCTGCCTAATGGTGCAGCTTTAGCACACTGGCACATGAACTGATGTCCTGTCTAGTTTTCAAGCTGCTGAATGTTCACTGTTGTAATATTTATTTATTTGGTTGGTTAGAAGGAATCAGAAGGGGAGACAGACCAAGTTTCATGTGAACTTTTTCTTTCATGCCAACCAGAGGATTATACACACAGCCACACATGCATATGCATGTGTACATAGTCCCAAAATTTCAATTATCTGTTGTTTTCTAGAACAGCTGATGCCTCCATGATCCTGACAGCTTCTTAAAGAGGCTTTGAATAAGCTTTTTTTCTCCCTCAACAGTCAATATTGGTGGCATCATGCACACTTTTCTAGCACTGGCTGTGTAGCAACACCACTGTGAAGCTGCTGTAAACCAGAGGGGGCAAAAGAAAAGATCATCTTGATTCTATGGCAGCAGATGTACGGGTTTAAGGGGCAGGCTTTTTCATGAAGTTTCTCAGTGATACCAGTTTCTGTAATCCTTCCACTTTTTTAAAGTTGCCTGGAGTTAAGAGTTACACCAGGATGAAATGTTTGAAGCTTCTATATGAAATTGGTAGCAGCATGGAGGCAGGATAAAGGTTGTCTCAAAACTTCATCCAGTTTTTACTGTGACTCTTGTTTATACTGTGAAATATGGCTAATAAAGCAGAATCCTTTCAGGAGACCATTACAACTTGCCTTTCCTGTCCTGTGGAAACTGAACAGTCATCACCGCATTCTGGCATCTGTAGCTCCTTTCACAGAATGGCTGTGGCTGTGGAGCAGTCCACAGCTCCTTCACCACACCACTGTGATACTGTCTTTTTATTTATTAAACTATAATCATATATCTACTGTAAACAAATGATAAATAAGCTTACTTAATGGGTCTCCAGTTTTGCTGAGGCTGGCACTACACGGCTGTTTAATTTAGGGATTTGGCTGTGGTTACTTGCCATAGTGGCAGGGGTGGATGGGAGGTAGGTGGTATATGTCAGAACAGACAGCAATTGCCATTAGTTTTACGTTGCTCTTAGCATCTCTGCATAGGCAGTGAAATATAGGAAGACTTACATAATGCTGCCCTTTAGGCTATTCATGTTATTTGCAGAGTCTGAGTGTCCAGGTTCCCCCTCAGTTTTCTGGTGCTCACACTAATCTCACTTCTATACAGAAAATGTGAATATTAATGGGAGGGAGAGGGAAGCTATTTTTTTAAACTGCATTCAAAATTTCAGAACTTTCAGAAGATGTTATTAGACATTTACCACAGATGGTAAGAGTCTGGCCATATATGTCATGTTTTCTTGTCTCTAGAGAGCAGCTGTTTTTATACTTCAATGCCACTAACATCATAGAGTTTGGCGTAAATCTATTCTGTAAATCTAATCTACTCAGGGACTCTCTTCACTTGGTTGCTTTTATCTCAGACATTCAGCAGGCTTTCAAGGTCTCATAATGTATCTGGGAAAACTGATGAAATGAAACTTGGCATAAATGAAAGATTGATAACATATTCATTGAGCATTTAAACTCATTTCATGTAGCTGTGAACTCTTCAATGTGTAGCAAGTGGTGCATAAAGATTCACCAGCAAAACAAACAAACAAACAAACAAACCAACCCCAAACTAAACGCTGTTTTATTTTTGGGTGACTTCCACTTTTGCTCTTTTGGCACTTTACATGGAGACACAAGACTCCCACCTCCACATTTCACAGGTCTGACTGTGTCAGTCAAGACAGTAATTCATTAAAGGATTTAGGAAAAGCATCTTTTGCCATATCTTTCCTTATTTAAATGTCATCTGTACTGGCTTCCATTGCAAAAGAAACACAGAACAATTCCACAACCACTGTGGTGAAACACGGAATATACAGAGCTAACGATAGTGGGTTTTTTTTTAAAAAAAAAAAAACCTGCCCAACCCTTCTCTCCCCCAAAATCAGCTCTCACGCTGAAATCGAATCCCTTCTCTCCAGCACTTGCATTTCTCTTCTGTAATGAGTTCGGTGTGCAAGTAAATTAACTCCACTGAAGAACAAAACCGAAGGGAGTTCAGAAAAAAAATGAATTCTGAAACTTTATTTCCAATTTGTTTACATGTACCATATTTTTCACATTTTTGTAAAATAATTTCATGTCTTGGCAGCAGTAACAATCTGTTATTATAAGAAGTTTAGCTATATGGTCAGTAATTTTTGTTTAATATTCAGAATGATTAAGAGAATTATGATTTAGAATATTAAGAAACTTTTCTGCTGTCAAAGTATTTTCTGTTCAGTGTACCAAGAAATGCTTGCCTTGTCAGGTGTCAGTAGGAGTTGTTTCCGTAGTAAGCAAATAGAGAATTTCCTTATTGTCAAAGCCTGTAAATAAGTCAGTCTCCTCCTCCCATTCTTTGCAAAGACTTGCAGATGCTGCCTCTTTGACATAAACAAGTGGCAGACAATTGCCTCCTGGAATAAAGCTGTGAGAGACTATGCAAAACAATACTCACAAATCATTTCTTGATCTGTAAGGCACCAGTCTGCTCAAACCCCAGTTGGGATACTATTGATTGATCTGCTGTGAGCATTCATTTGTTTTTTTTTTTTGCAGGGAACTGAGATTTTACTATTGGAGCACGGATTTATCAATTGGCTCTTTACAATCTCCCTAGTCCTATTTACAGTTCATCCAGACTTTAGTTTTTCATACAGGTGAAAACTAAGAATTGACTATCAAACAATAATTAATATTTGAAGTCTGAACTTACTTAAAATTCTACTGGAAACAAGGCCAGTTATTAAAAATTAATCCTAATTTAACCTCTAGGTTTAAATACATTCCTAGAAACAAATTTTCTT